TTAAAAACTAACAAATGAACATTTAAAAGCTTTTCCGTGATCGGTTCAGCAAGTTACGTAACTGTACTTGGGGTTTCGATAGACCTCTCCAAATAGGCTTATGAACCGCTCGCCTTTGATTCGCAATTTTCAGTCTATTTCTGTGCCCATGTGCTTCTATAAACCCCTATAGGCTATGTACACTGGACAGCAGAACCAGTAGTCACGTTAGCTTTGTAAAGATGATGAACTTGGACAGGACTGCTGGATTGAGTGCGTGACCGGAAATCGACAACTTTCACTAAGTGGGTGTTACCGCAATTATTCTGACTTGTAAAATAAATTCTTTGCTTGAAAAATTCCTCTCTCTCTTTTCGGGAAATGATGATTTCTTCACTTCCTGACAACGACATTTAAATGGGGAATCCAAATGTTTTAACTTTTCTTAGAATTATCCTTATTAAAAGTTTCACAGAATTCTAACATCCCTAATTCTCCGTCTTTGACAAAATTCATCTTTTAAACTAGTTTCTGTCAGTTTTGACTATCCTGTTTGTTCTTCAAACAGAATGACGTTTGGTAGACCATATCAGACCGAATATTTACCATTCCTATATTGAGATAAGAATTAATATTTTAATCACTTTAAGTTCCAAAGAAAACGTGCTCTACAAAATTTTGCCACACAAGGATTTCTTATATCACATCAACAGACCATTAAGAGAAAATAATTCTCCTTAACAGGTTGTAAACAAGATAGCAGAGGGAAATGCGAGAACTTGAATGATAAAAAGATGAGCACCAGTGCCTATGATCAAATGCCATATTCTCTCAGTCAGATTTCAAGTGTCTGGCGTTCGCTGGATAGCTTACGAACATATCAAGCCTAACTATAGCGAAACGATTCAACATGGCGACGAAAAGTGATTACAGCAACCGGTGTATGCACTATTCAGCATCTGGAACATCTATTTTAACAGTGCACACTGAGCAGTAATGACAACAAAGATTTTATTTCGCCTCTTTATACAAGGTGAGCGATCGTTTTTGTTTAGTTTACGACATTTACATGGTTTCCTCTGTGGGTGCCCGTCACTTTACGGAAACTTGCGTGAAGTTTTCATACAAGCTGATTTTCTTTCTTCTCTGTTCGCTCGAAGTAGTATTTTTAAGTAACGAACTGTTTTGCTCTCATAAATATTTCCCGCCCTATTCATTAAATTCGATGAATTAAAATACGCTTCTTGAAAATTATTAAACAAAACGAGAGTCCGTTTCAATATTCGTGCGAGATGCTACTATAAAATACCACTTTTGTCGTCAAGTGCAAATCTAAATAATCAATCACGAATTCTTTGTCGCGGATATTTCGTCTTTTTTTTGGCAGTATTTTTTTGGTTTGAAATCGCCGTAACTGAAAAAAAGAGAAGTAGCTGCACGAATGTTGCAGTATGTCGGCGATCGTTCACATAATTTCACGCTTGGATCTTCATTTGAAATGAGTGACGGCGCATAAATTCTTCATTTTAAATTTTGTCTGTAAGTGGATGGAAAAATACGTCCATCAGAAAGCTCTTATTTGAATATAACGCGCAGATTTCGGTATTGCTTTTACATTCGAAGCTTGTCATACAGCAATATCTCGTGAGCTGTCGACACTTCGTAGGCTACAAAGGAAAGCGTGCATGTTATTATTTAGACTACAGATCTGTCAAAACGCGAGTGCACAACAAAAATTGCTTAAGTTTTTTCCTTTTGAGGACTGAACATATTTTAAGTTTTGTGTCTCGAGTTTTTTGAAATCCAGATATTGTTTGGGATTTGAATTAGAGAAGGAATTGAATTGTGTTGAGTAGACGTAACTGTAAGAAAAACTGATAGTAAACAAAGCTGCCGTTAATCATGTAAGATTTCCATGAAAATCAACCCTCTGCGGTGTTGGTGAAAAAATGTTACCAGTTTTCCTAAAGAAAGTCCTCTTGCCAAAGTACCGACCTCCAGTTTTGTGATAGGGAGGGCAATTGCCGAGGAAAAAACTTATAAATAAGAAACTTTGCTATCAACTTGAACTCAGTTTTGTGGTTTGTTACGGAGACATTAGTATAAATGGATTAAGAGACAGTCTACTATAAGGGCTTTTGACATGTTTTCCATCCCATATCTGGCAAATAGTTTGATTGGCAGAGGCTCAACCAAATCCTATGTTCAGAGACTCTTGTAAGTGTCTATTTGAGCCCCAAGCTTGCATCAATTCATATACAGAAAGTTTGAAGAAAACATGTACAGTTGTGGTGCTTGGGATTCAAAAGAGACACAAATTATGCATAAGTTAACAACTAATTAAGAACATAGTGCATTAAAAAAAGAATGACTAGATCACAAATGTAGTATTCCAACTAATGTAATTGATTCAAAAGTAAAGTACACATAACAAGTGAATGTCTCTATTTGATAGCAACAATATAATCCCCTTAAATTTCAGTTGTGTAGTGGCAGTTCTACAGAAATCCTTTTTTTTCTTTTTTTTGCAGGAGTTCTACTTCTTCACTTATCACCTTGCACAAGAAGTAGCACATTCTTTTTCAATGCCACCTCATCAATGCAAGTGTCATCAGCAAGTATTCCACTCAAAAATGGCTTTGATTTCAGTTTTAGAACTTGCAGTGGTGGAGTGTTACTTGATCAAAAGGGGTCAAGTAATGGTTTTGTGCGTATTGAAGTGGTGCGCACCACTGTGAATTACACTAGGACACCTGTTTTATTTATTCCAAGCCACCTTAGAATGACATGGAAAGTTAATGGTACTGAAGAGTCTGTTACCATAGGGAAAGACCTGGATAAAAATATTCTTCATCAAGTACAGTTCACTCCTGGCAGTGGACAAGTAAATTCAACTCTCACCCTGAGTGGTTTAACGACCCAGTTTGTCCAAATGCCAAACACTATTTTAGAATTTGTAAGTTCAGGTCCCCTTTATGCTGGGAACCATATATCTGGAGGTGAAGGTTTCGTTGGATGTATAACAAGTGGACAAAATATTCCACTGCCAGATAGTATCTCTGTGAATGTCAACGCAAACTGCCCACTGGGCCAATCTGGATGTCCAGCCAAAGGTTGGTTTGATTTCATATTATGAATTTTACCCATCCACCTAATCTTATTATTATGAAATTGGTATTCACTCAGGGTATCTACAGCAGGCCTGATTTTAAATTTCAGGGCCTTTTCAGTCACAAATCACTATCCAGATTCTCAACTGCAAGTGTGAGTCAGTGCTTTTTTTTTTATGTGCATAGGCTGAAAGAACTAAATTAAAAAGAATTGTGAAAAGATGCTGTGAAAGGGATAAAATTGTTCAAATAATTTCCTAATGGTTTTCATGTGGCTTTAATACACCCTGAGTAGGAAATTTGCATGTGAAGTGAAGTGAAGTCTAGATTTTAACATTGTGAGCACTGGAGTGTACATAGAAGTATGTGGAGTTTATATCCGTTAGCTGGCATGTCAGTTTTCTCTTTTTTATCATTTCATGTACTTGTTAAATATTAAGTGATTATGTCTCAAGGGGGGAAAAGGTCTGAGTCCAAGCTAGGGAAAACCTGACCAAATGCAGTTGAAGTAATTTCCCATGGGCCAGGTGGCAGGTCATTCAGTGGGAGCAGCAATATTCCTGGTCACTTACTGCAACAGAAACCAATACAAGTTGTGGCAAGATGAGCCCATTGTGCTTGTGATCAGACATTTTCAATCCTATGGTGATAAATCAAAGAAAGGAATTAATTGTTTATATGTTTATTTTGACTTTTAGTTTGTCCAGCTGGTTTTACTGGATACTATTGTGAACTAAACATTGATGACTGTGCAAGTGCCAAGTGTCATCACTACAGCACATGTGTTGACCTTGTCAATAACTTCAGCTGTAGTTGTGGACCAAGGTGGACAGGCCAATTATGTGACATCTTCCTGGGATCCCTGTGTAATAAGACTAACAACAACAACACTGATGTGTGTAAGAATGGAGGTGTTTGTCGCGATACTTCAGACAAAAACAACTACACATGCACATGTAAGCCTGGCTACACTGGACACAACTGTGAGAATGAATTTGATCCTTGTAAAAGTTATCCATGCAAGCAAGGAGGGACATGCTCCAAGCTTAGTGCAGATGACTTCAAATGTGATTGTCCATCAGGTAAGTTCATTAAATTATTTTTTTATTTTGAAATAGAATTTACACAATTGATCGTGTGGTCTAATCTTCTGGGTTAGCATAATCACAGAGAAAAGGATCATTAAATGGTAGCAGTGATTGTTCAGTCTTTTTCAGGACTGCTATCGCTCAGATGATCAGATCATATGATCCAATGTAACTTCTGGGATCGAAGCATTTATTGAACAATATACACAGTGATTATATTCTGAAGCATCTCGGTTGGCCGAGTTCTTAAATCTTTGAATCCAATTGGCTAATTCTGCACTAGTAACCTGTCTAGTATTTTACCATACAGTCAGGCTCCAGTATCTTTTCTGTACCATTCATGGTGAGGTGGAAAATGACAAGCCAACAGAAAGAAACAAACACATTATTTATTAGTCTAGGTTAGTCTGGGGGGGATAAAAACTGTGCCTTTGCCATGACCTTGAGTACAGCCCTTTGCCTTTGGCTTTGGCTGTGATCTGCAATTATGACCTAAAGCACTCTTTTTTCTTAAACTAATCTCCCAAACAGTAAACAACAATAATTATATTTAATGCTTGGCCCCTTGAATGATTATACATTATTTTTTCATAAAGGTTTTAAAGGAAAGCAGTGTCAGGAAAATATAAATGATTGTGCAGCATTCCCTTGTGGTCATGCTGGTACATGTATTGATGGAATCAACAACTACACTTGTAACTGCACTGGGTCTGGCTTCACTGGGCCATCATGTCAGGAAGACATTAATGAATGTAATTCTACAAACAAACCCTGTCATCCTATTAATACTGCCCAGTGCATTAATCATGATGGATTTTATCAATGTGTTTGTAAGCAAGGATTTAATGGCAAGAATTGTTATGAAGATTTAAATGACTGTCGTAGTGATCCCTGCCAAAATGGAGGTAGGGGACTCTCATATTCAGTGCTACATGTAGTTGTATAATTTTAGAGTGTGTTCTTGTCAAATTATATTAATTATGTAATGTCTGTTGTGGTGTTATGAGTGTTCTAAAAAACTGCAATTTACTGTATTTGTTTAGTATTTCAAATTGAAACTAATGTCTTTGATAAAAATCTGTTATTGTAGTCACCATTTAAGAAAAATAATCATTTCATCGTAAAAAAGGTTACATGGTCATTTATCGTGGTCAACAGATTTATTACTGAAGTATAATCATTGGGCCCATGAGTTAGTCTTGCACTTTGGAAGTGATTCCATTGTGATACACAGAGTGATAGTACCTCATTTTTGGTTTGACTTTAAGACTTATTCTTTAGTATGTAATTCTGATGGTAATAAGTTTTGAATTAGTTGCCATGTACTGAGACTGATGTTGCTTTACATGTTCCATATTTAATGAATAACCATCGGAGAATGAAGATTGAGGATTTGTAATGGCAACCTTTAGCCAACATCTGTAACACCAAAATCCCTTAATAGTCCATTTTACAGTTGCCTGCTTGGTTGCCAAGCCTTTGAATGGAAGTGAGGCTAAAGATGACCTTTTAATAATACAAATGTTGCTGCTTTTCAAATGAAAATTATTTTGTTATCATGCTAACTAGATGTTGGTCTTTATCACAACATGGTCACCTTCAGCCTCACTCCAAATCAAAGGCTTGGCAACTTAGCACAGCTGTAAAATGGCCTATTGTCTGGCAATATGTCCTCTCACTAACCTTGTCAAGTTTTTATTTTCATTAAAGGAACTTGTATTGATGAAGTAAACAGCTACAGATGCAAATGTATGGATGGATTTACTGGAACCCTGTGTGAGATTAACATTGATGACTGTTTGAATCACAACTGTAACAACAACTCAATATGTGATGATGGTGTCAATAATTACACTTGTGTTTGTAAACCTGGTGAGTCTGTGCACAGTTAGTAAAGGGTTGGTCACATATAACATTTTATAAGTTGTTTTTAAGCCAGGTGCAGATGCAAGTTATAATTTTAAATTTGTACACAGCAATACAAATGAAAAGCAGAAATCAAAATAACACATTCAAGAATCTCACCACTAGAAACACTCAAAGGTAAAGGCTGTAATCAGCTCAACCAGGCAGTTTTTTGGACGATAGAATTACTGTATGCATGCAAAATTTATATTGCACAATAGCTTACATTAGCATGACCCTCTTCAACCATTACACAATAGCAATTAAGAGAGAAGGATGTTGTGTTAAACTGGCTGCTCAAAACTTCACATGATAGGGCTAATCGTTTTTATTGAAAGGTGATTTAAGTACTAGGTAACACCTCTTGCATATTATTGACATTACATTGCTTAGAGGAATCAACTCATTATTTGATGTGTTCTTCTCTTTGTGGACCAATATCCATACTTTCATGATGAATTTAAAAAATTTTACGCAATCTAAAACTCACTTAATTCATCTGATCACAATAAATCTTCTATTTCATTTCCATGCAGGATTTAATGGAAGTCAATGTGAGAACGATCTTAACGACCACTGCTGGTCCGTTAACTGTAACAGTGGAACTTGTAAAAGTGGTAACAGCAGTTTCCGATGTGAGTGCTTTCCTGGATTCAATGGTACCTACTGTGAGAATGAAATCAATGAGTGTGAAGGTAAGTTTCAATTCTGAGAACATATAGATTAAATGACCATGGCCACGATGGACATGAATATTATAATCAAATCTAACTAGGGGAAAAAAGCAAGGCGACTGCATCTCTTGCTGCATTTTGAGCTGAAATTTCATACATCATACTTGGTGTCTTGGTATTTCGTAATAGTTCATACACCTGTATCTGCTGTGTACAGTCTCTGAGTGTGACATATTTTGTCAGGTGTTTCATGTAACTGTGGGAGTTGCACTGATCTTCTTGGAGCATTCCGTTGTGACTGTGATCCATGGACTACAGGCCGGTACTGTGAGACTGACATCGATGAATGTGCTAATAAAAGTCAGTGCAGTGTGGATAAAAGTCAAGGTATTTGTCAAAACATCAACATCACCAGAGAAACTTGTGATAACCGCAAGAAAGGAGCTGAATGTTACTGTACCCCCGGTTTTACAGGTATTGTAGTATGCTTTAGATTCTTTAGATCAGGGCTTAGTTGTTCGAAGGCCGATTAGCACTAACCTAGGGTTAAATTTTAATCCAGGTCTCTTTATTTCTTTGATCAAAAGCCTTTTAGGGAAGATTTTGTTAATGTAAAGAGCAATTTGGAAATATTCTGTAAACACTAAAATTCCACGCCCAAAAGTACAGTAAAAAGATACCAGAGGACGTGTAAAATGCGTCTGTTGCTGTGGAAAGGAACTAAGGTTATTATTTCCGGAAGTAATGTTCTGCACATCTGATGGAACCCCCTCTCCAAGGAGTTGTTGTATCAGAGCTTATTGTAAGTATGTTTGAAACAGAGTATTAGTGTTTATTGGAATAAGGACGCTTATTGGTATGGAGCGCTCATTGGAATGAGGGTGCTTACTCAATAGGGGCGCTTATCACAAAAACAAATTCGAGAATGGGGGCGCTTTTTAGAGAGGGGGCGCTTATTGGAAGGAATGCGCTAAGTCGTATCACTACGGTAAGCATACACCCCCCTCCCCTTGATTACGTCATTGCTTAATTTAGTTTGAAGAATATCTTTGTTGTTGTTATTCCAGGTGCAAACTGCCAGGATAATGTGGATTACTGCCTGCAATATGCACCTTGTCAAAATCAGGCAAATTGCACCGATGGAAAGGAAGTTAACGAGTACAGTTGTACCTGTGCATCCGGCTGGACTGGACGAAACTGCGATGTGGACATTGATGAGTGTCAGCTTGGATACTGTCAGAATAATGCAACATGTAATAATACTTTAGGTAACTACGCATGTGCATGCTTACCTGGCTTCACAGACCGCAACTGTTCCACAAATATTAATGACTGCCTACCAGACCCATGTGAAAATGGTGGAAACTGTACAGATCTAATAAATGGCTTCACCTGTGCATGTCAGTCAGGATATGACGGTAATATACATGAATACGCAAGAGATTATGAAGGGACAGAGAGTGAAGTTCCCCGTGTAGCTCTTTAGATATGTCAATTTCACTAGTTATTTATAGATAGTCCTCCCAAACGGAAGTTAGTTTCCTGAGACGTTCTTTGATTGATCAATGAAATCAACACGTCTATTCCCAATTGTTCCTCTCTGTTCTTCATTTTCTCTTGATTTGCGTCTTTTTTCGACAAACTTGTTTGTTTTGTTAGAGTAAATATATATTTTTAACTTTCTTGCTCTCTTTTTTTTGCGTTTTATGGACCGAGACGAAGTATATAGCAAAAAGTACCAACAGGGCTACTGTTAATGAAATTGTTATAAAGTTCGTTCGATTGGTGTTTTCTTAACCTTAGAAGAAAAGGTTTCCTGGAAAATTCGTTTCGTATAATGTGTATGTTTTTGTGGCATCAAATGGCACATTAACATAAAAGTGTTCCAAGGACTGACAGCCTTTAACATCTTACCCAAACCACACGTGTAAGCCAAGAACGGAGTATTTCTTTCGGCCTAAATACCACTTAGCCGATGTGTATTCTGTATTCTCGACATGTCCTAAATCGCCGATCATTTCTTTTATTTTTTTCCTTTTGAAAATTTACCGCCCGCTGAGTCTTGTACACCTGGCCCCGGTTGTTCCAAGGTCGGACAACACTATCCACAGGATAAATCTCTATCCAGTGGACAACGCTATACGATTTGCCATTACTTACCCGCTGGATAACGATTTATCCATTGGATAGCAGTATCCGTACTTTATAAAACTGGGCCCTGGTGAGCAGCTCACTTAAGCATTGATGGCAGCCGATTCGCAGAAAGACTACATTCTTTTCTGAAATCTTTGATCTCTTGGCACACAGGTAAAAATTGCTCCAACAACATTGATGAATGCGAGTCTAATCCATGCCAGAACAATGCAACATGTATCGACGCCATAGCTGATGTCAACTGCACTTGCACAGCCAACTTCACGGGGAAGTACTGTGAGCTTGAGTTATCTTCTTGCATTCCTAATCCGTGCAAGAATAATGGCACCTGTGATTTACAAAACAACAACTTCACTTGTACTTGCGCAGCTGGCTTCGGAGGTGTACATTGTGAAAATATAACCACAGTTGGATTAAATGGCTCCTCGTTCATGGATTTCCACGTCGGAAAACAAATGTTTCAACTCTCTTTTCAGTTTAGAACAACTCTGAATCACGGCTTATTAGGCACTGATTCAGGAAGCAATTTTCTTGTTTTTCTTGATAAAAATGAAGTACACGTATTGTACAATAACATGAAGAAACTCTCAGCTGGCAAAAAGGCTTCTCTCAGCAATGGACTCTGGCACACTGTTTTTATCAACATATCTGCAGACTCCATAATTCTCATTGTAGATAACTCATCTTGTGGCGAGCTTTGCCAGACGTCTTCACCTCTACAAGCACAGGCTGACGTTTCAAAACTCTACATAGGTGGATCTTCATCTCCTGTTAATTATCTTCACAACACGCTGTATAATTTCACTGGTTGTATCCAAGATGTAACGATTGATATGGAGACAGTGATCCCCACAAGTGCAGTAGTGGAATTACATAACACTGTTACTGGGTGTCCACGAGAAGAGGTGTGTTTATCCAACCCCTGTGCAAATGGCCAATGTATTGACGAATGGATCAAATTCAGCTGTGATTGCACACGACCTTGGATCGGCTCG